AGCCACTGGGTGTTATGCTCTATGTTGGCAAATTGAACTCCAATAAAAAATTTTAAAAAATTAACTTCAACGGAAAAAAAAAGAACATTTGGTCTCCACCATATTCATAGCAATTTAAATTTGGACCCAATTTAAATCACCTACAGTATGGAAATAATGAGAAAAGTCATGGTATCTTCACTTGATTTGTTGTTAGGGAGGCTTTACAAACCATGCAATGTCATGGGAAATGCTTATGTTATGATAAGTTAAAACAAAACAAAACAAAATGTAAGTTGCCTTATTTTAATCAGGACCCACTCAGTATGTGGGGATGTGGTCAAATCCATGTGATATTTTTTGCAATTGCTGTTCCCAGAAAGGAAGAATAGAAGGAGAAAGAGAATAGAAGAAAGGAGTAAGTATGAGGTATCTCCCGTCATCTGTGCTTTTGTCCATCTAATATTAAAGTACTCTCCTCTCTTCCTCACTACAGGCAAGCTCAGTAATATTAGCTCATTTTTCAGGGAGTTCGCTCATTTCCCTGTCCTCAGGCTTCTGTTTCTATGAAGCAGGGTTGGTGGTGCCTGTGGTAGGGCCAGTTCTACCCCACTTAGTATGTCCTGGAGTGGACATAGAGCCTTAATTTTTGGTGGTTGTTTTGGCATCGTGAAGAGCTTAATGTCTCTTTAGCCTCAGATTTGAGCAATAGCCAATTATAAGGCAACAGGAAGTACACAAGTCAGCATGCTTTTACAAATAAAGTCATTCAAGAAGATGGAAGACTAAAGGTTTCTAACCCAGAGACCAAAGGAGATGAAGCATTTATCACCTACAAAGAGTTAGTGCCTTTTAGATAGTAGGAAAAAAGTCCACTGGAAAAGGGCATACATATTACAGTGAACATGTGTTTTTGCTGACCAGCATCCCTCCTGATACCAGAAACCTACATTTCCTCTGGGAAGCCACACTTACGCCTATTTCTCAGACTTTAAGATTATGTGACACTCATGCACTTCACAGATCCAGGAATGCGTTGATTGGCTTAAGCAAATCAATGGAACACAACCCTAGAGCCACAGTGATTGATTACAAATTGGGTTTCTGACTTAAGGATGGGTCAAATCGGAAAGAACCTAGTGATTTTCTTCAATGGGAACACAGACAATGAGCAAGGATTCATGTAATGCTGGGAGGTACAAGCAGCCATCCTGGGATCTGACATGGATGGGAGGTCAGGGAAGAAAATAGGACCTGGGGGATACCATAGGGCTGCCACATGCAGCCTTGCCTGGAGCCAGTGCCCTTTAGTCTTGGGGTCACAAAGCTCATTTATTCAAGCCTCTTTGAATTAGATTGCTTTGTTCGCTTACTCCCTTCAAACTATCGGCATCCTGAGAAATGCAGAGACCTATGTCTGTGAGAGATTGAGAGTCTTTTAACAGTAACAGCCCCTAAATGAAGTGTGGGATCGGCTGAACTGAACAAGTAGGAGGATATTTGCCAAGGATCTCGTTAAATGGAAGTGGCATTTAAATTTTGTGTGCATCGGAATTACCTGGAGCCTTGTGAAAATAGATTGCTGGGCTCCATCCTCTAAAGGGAGGAGAAGGGGCTGCTTAGGACTTGCGTTTTTAATATGTTCCCAGGTGATATTCATGCTGTTTTCTGAGCACCACCTTTTGAGAACCACCCCTACGTGGTATTGCTACTGGTTGAACTGAGCCCTATCATCTCTTGGTGCTAAGACTGTGTGCCAAATACTAAGTCTGCAACAGTGAGGAGTTTGATAGGAAAGTGTCTTAAGTATCGGAATATAATAGCTACTTCTTGCATCCATCAGTGAGCTACTTTAGGAAAGAGTTTAGACGATTTTGATATGGCCTTATCTGAAATCAGAAAAGGAGAACATAACTTTGTTATGAAAGGCTTTTTCAACCTGCCAACTGAGAGCCAGTCATCTGGAATTTCTACTTGAAGCTAAAGTTAGTGCAAGCAGAGGCAGGGAGGTAAGAAACTTCACAGGAGAGAAATCTGGGTTCTAACTGCACCCCTCAACCCCCTCCCCACCTTCTCCTATGAAATTTTTATCTCCCTCACTTAACGAGGACAGTCAGCTTTGTGTGAAGGTGCAGGGAGGCCAGGGTTTGGGGCGAGGTATCAGATATTCGTCACTTCCCCACATTGCCCCACCTCTGCAGGGGCGATGTGGAGGCAGAGGTCTGTCCCCAACAGGCTGGGAGTCAGAGGTGTAGGGGTGGGACTCAGGACTGAAGCCTGTGCTAGGAAGCTCACATTCTCACCCCCAAGTTAACATGCAAAATGTATGACTGGACAAACTCTCTGCTCTGCTCTTAGACAATCCGTGGAATTGATCAGAAACAGAGAGATTCAAAACCTCCAATCGTTAGAAGGGTGTTACCTTGCCAAAGAAACCACAAGACCAGCCAGAAATGGCTGTTGATTGCTCAATGCCCAAAGCAAAGGCCAAGCTCCTAGCTCATGCAGACAGGAGAAGGCTGCCCCCAGTGAAGGGTTCCTCCCCAGTGCATATCTCAGACAAGTCCAGGGAGGACCTTCCCTAGGGCGGCCAACCAGAGAGGCTGACCAAGGAGCTCAGTCACATCTTACTGCTCTGCGATGCACCGTATGCTAATTACAATGCTACTCCTGTTCTCCACTTTCCAGCACAGGGGTCCTTGTACTATTTATGCTGTTCACAATGTTTGTGTTTAGGGAAAGTTGGACATGGTTAAGCTTCTTATTTGGGTTTGGGTCACTGGACCTTGAGAAATCACTCAGTGTAAATAAGCAGATTTTGTTTGTCTCAAGACTCAGGACACCAATAGAGAAAAGTGACAGTTTCTCTGCTTCTTTGGAGACAAGGGCTGTTCCTCCCATTCTCCTGATAGTACCTACACACTTACCATGGCTGTGGCTGGTAATGGTGTTAAGGGAATGGGGCGACTTGTAATAGAAGGGGATTGTAAAATGTTGCCTGAGAGGAGCTGTGTGTGTGTGTGTGTGTGTGTGTGTGTGTGTGTGATATGAAAGTCTCAGGCAAATGACTTGTCGCATTGCCCTCATTATATAAAAGCCCTGATGGCATTCAAGCTGTTATGACTGGCAACGATGAGCTCTGTCTTATGTGCCAGTTCAGAGTCACCAGAAAGTTATTCCAATGGATGGAGTATCATCACCCATCAGTGGGTAGGGTCAAATGAGAGAGGCAAAGTAAGCAATGCATCCTCATTGAAAAAGAAACAAAAGAGAAGTGCAGAAAATAAAAAGGAGAAGTGTCCATGACAAAATTAAATAATAGTCTTCTTTTCCTCTAAGAAACCACAGTTAGCTACTGGACATATATATTTCCAAATATTTGCTCTTGTAAATACACATGTGTATACGGCTTTAAAGAATGAAACAGGAGTAATATTATTCTATACATACAGTTCTGTAGCATGCATGTAGAGTATATATGCCTATACTTCATGTAAACACAGACACTTGTTCCACCTAACATGACGCATACTTTCCATAGATATGGATGTGTGTTACTCTTTTTACTGATTGCAGAGGTTTCCATTGACCGGCATCTCAATCCTCTGTTGACTTAATCCTCTGCTGATGGTTGTTTCCATTAGTTTGCTATTTGCAAACTGTGCTGCAAAGAATATTCTTCTGCCTACGTATTCCTGTTCTTAGTAGTGTTGCTACAAAATACATTCCTAGAAATGGAATCCTGGCAAATGGCAGCTAGATCAAATACTATGTGCATTTTAACATTTGCTTCATAGTAGCATTTAATTGTACTCTAAAGAATTTGATCACTGTAATTCTAAACCAAATTTTTGGATCAAAAATTAGATTATTCTAAACAAAATGAAAACTCATGGCTCATAGAATTAACACATGCTTGGTTTTGGCACAGCCTTTTGAATTTCCCTTCTGCGGAAGGGGATCTGGCTCAGTATACATTTCTTATAGTTATAACTATGACTGAATAACCCATCTATTAAATAGCTCAGCTTTCACAGTGAACTTAGAAACTGGCATATAGTATAAATCTATAGCCCCACATATGGGCTGGTTGTCTTTTCCTCCTCTAACATTAGCCATTTACTCTGTAGGGCATGGAATCTACAGAAATAATGTATGCTATCCCTGTTACTGTATGCAGATATACACTGCATTTGGAAAAAAGCGGTGAATCATACTGACTATTGCCGTGGTCCTCAGCTGTTAAACATGCATGTTGAACACCTGATGAGGTTGTAGAACTATCAATTCCCAGGCCCACACCTAAAGATTCTGATATGAGTGTCCTAACCAATCATGGCGTGTGATTTGAGGACAAGTGGATGATATTTGGGGACATAACTTTGCTAGTGTTTAAGGGTCAGTAGTTACATCAAAGTCTAGTTTTAGAACTCAGCTGTACCATTTACTTGCTGTGTGCTCTCAACCAAGTTACTTACCCTCTCTGAGCCTGGCTGGAGTTTACTCTTGAATCACATGAGGATATTAATAAGTATTTAAACTGTACTGTTTCATTGTGAAGATCAAATGGACCCTACTTAAAAAGCATGCAGCCTGAAGTAGGTCTCAATATGTTAGTAATTGTTATTAAGAAAGTTTGATTTATTATAAATAAATCTATTTATTATTATTTACTATTATTTATTATAAATAAATAAATGACACTCTTCTTACTAATATCCATAGTAAATTTTCCTGAAGCATGTATATTATGATTTGATTTATGAAATATTCATAATTTCAATGATCCAGAAATGTGGCTCCATTATAAAGCAGAGTATCTCTGGGCTAGCTACTCTTTTATCTTTCCCAATTCCCTCCTTTTCACACCTGCCTATTTTTTGCCTATTATTCCTTCTGACCAGCGATTCTGACTTTGCAGACAAAACCAAACTCAATACCAGTTTTCAAAGGACTATCTTTATTATTTCTCTAGGCTGAACACAGCACTGAACAGAAACATCTTAATACACACATGTCAGTCTGGTGGCTTGCATGCCACTTCTGCCTAGAATAAACCATGACAGTCACTCAATTGACTCCAATCCACAGTGCAAATGAAGGGACAGTGCAAATGAAGAAGGTATCTTGGGGTCTCTCGGAGCAAATGGTCCCAGAGTATGACATTGAAAATAAATAACAAAAATTAAATAGTATAAATAAGTTGAAATTTAAGTTAGAAAGAGTCCCTGAGTGTGGCTGTTTGGCAACAACCAACCCACAGGAGAGGTAGCTGTGGAGGTTAGAGGGGTGTTTCCAAGGCTCGGACTTCTGCTCCCCTGTCAGCCCACTGAGGTCACTGGGTTCTCCAAGCTTCCAGGCCACTCAGGCTTTCAGCTTCAGATCGGCCACATATTCCTGGACCCAGGCCTCACTGGGGTTGGCACAGGCCTGGCGGCCTTTTCTGGTTTGGAAGCTATGGAGAGAAGTGGAACGATTATATACCAAGGAATCCAGCAAGAGGATGCTGAGTCCACTGTGGCCCCTTGCCGCACTCTCTGTCCTGGTCAGCTGGGGGCATACCTACTTTCTCAGAGACTCTCTGCCCACCTCAGTCTAGAGAGCAGCTCTCACTGACTTGGGGTGGTCGGGGTGCATCCAGGGGACCATGCTGTCAACTCCTTTATTTCTCTCTTCCTTCTGGGCTAGATCAACCCTCTCTGACTTTGCAAGCCCCTGGCAGGTCAGGTCACACCTCAGAGATCGGGGTCCTACATACCTCATAGGCCCCAGAGGGCTGTGCCATTCCAGGATGGCACCCCGGGCCAGTCTTTGCCCTTGGGTGCTGCTCCCATTGTAGACCCTCCCTGCCTCCCCAGAGCTGGGCAGGAAGACTGGCACTTACATAATACCGGGCTTGGAGCATTGGCTGCTGGTCTCAAAGCAGTCGACTATGAACTTGCGTGGAATCTGCTTGGAGACGTAGGAGAAGCAGCAGGCTATTGGGGTGTCAGCACCAACTGTGGAGGAAGAGAGAGAATGAGCCCGAGTCACAGTTTGGAAGGAAAAATGAGATTGGATCCCTGAGAAGGTGAGAAAGACTTGGAGGAAAACAGCTTTGCTCGGAGTGCAGGCTGGGGGACAGGATCACTGGAGGGCACTGGGCATCTTTGCCTAGAAATATGCCTGTCTCTGTCCTGGTTTCTGTCTGTGTCTTCTTTCTCCTTGACTTTTTGTCATGGGCTGTCTTTCTTGATGTGATCCAAACATCTAAGCAGACTGCTCTTGTCTCATCTCCCCCCTGGAAATTTTGCCTGGTTCAAGAAGTCCTGCCCCAGCAAACAAGAAACCTTGGACATCTCTCTTATGACATCCAGGGGACAGTGCTCTGGGGAGGTCTAGGGTGAGTGAGGGGAAGAATGACCCCACTGGGAGGTCACTAGGCTTGGATCGAGCCTCTTGCAGACTCATTTGTTTAGGGTCCCTATTTTTCCATCTGAAAAAATGGGACTGTAACTCCCCTACCTCACCCTGGCTCTCAGATCTGGGGACTGGGAAAGCTAAGATCCCTCTATGAAGATGAAAATAAAAGTCTTGAAGAGAAAGGCCACGATGTTTTCTAGCCCTCTGAGAAGCTCCCTATTTTCTCCTGGGGGCTCCCGAGGCCATGAGACAGAAATGGATGTGGTCCGGCTGTGGGGACAGAGCGTGGGGACATGTGCAGCAACAACAGAGACTCACATGGTGCAGAGAAGACCTGGCTGCAGAGGGACATGGTGCAGAGGAGGACGGCGAGGGCAGCCCCGGGGACCTTCATGACGCTGAGCTGTGGATGGAGCGAGGGCTTGCTTGTCTGCAGAGGTGGGCCTGGGCACTTGCTGCTGCCTGTGTCCTTCTGGAGAGTGAACAGATCTCCCCTGCTCTTTATAGGCAGCCCTGGTGGAAGGGGAAATGGAATCTGGGGGTGTGGAGGGAAATTTTTAAGCACAGTGGTGTTGTCACGCTGAGTGTTGCACAACTCAGGGTCCCAGGGTACCACAGGGGTTCAGGATATCCAAGAATAGCTTCTCTGAGTTATAAGTTTCAGCCTGAGACCCATGACTTGTTCTGGTTTCTTGTGAGGAAATGGTTTCCCCCGTGAGCAGGAGGAGAGAGCTATGTGTTGACCCAAGGCTATTCTTAGCCGGTCCCTTCCCATAAGACCTGATCTTTACACAAACTCACCAGCCCTGTCCTTTCCACAGAGCTGACACTTCTGTGCTTCCTCAGCTATTCTAACCACACGGATGGGGTAGATGTGGTGATGCAGAGGATGGCACATACCTGCCTTAGATGCAAGGAACTGAACCAAGGGTCCTCACTAGGGGACTTGGAGGCATGAGATCACATCTTCATTGTTCATCCTGTCATCAGACAGTGACCGAATGACTCGAAGCTCTGGATTAACACCAGATGAGGATCAGAAAGACACATTAGATGTGAGTGTTCACATGTCAGGAACCTAAAAAATATTTCTACCTTATAACCTAGGAGATGCATTTCTAGGAAAGAGTCCTAAAGAAACAAACCCAAATACAGAGGCATTGTTAAACATAAAGATATCAGACTCAGCATCATTTAGGATTCTAAAATAAGAAAATCTAAATTCTCCTTTATTAGGGAATTATAAAGTAAATGCCTGATTGTTTATTATTAAGCCCTTAAATGGAATGAAGTGAAATAGCGTAAATATATCATAACAACAGTTATAAAAAAAGTAAGATGAAAAATTGTACAAGGTGAAGAATTATATATATATATATGCATCCACACATGAATAGCAAATATTGTAACTATATATATATATATACATATATATACATATATATGTAAACACTAGGCATGGAAAAAATAAAAAGCATTGGGAATAAAGGTCTCAAAGAACCAATAGTAGCTATATTTGTGTCTATGGTCTACAGGTGATTAATTTTTTTGTGATTAATTTTTTTGCTTTCCCCTTTTTCTGGATTTAAAAAAAATTTTTTTTTTAAATGAGAATGTTGGGATCCCTGGGTGGCTCAGCGTTAAGCACCTGCCTTTGGCCCGGGCGTGATCCCGGAATTCCGGGATCGAGTCCCATGTCGGGTGCCCTGCATGGAGCCTGCTTCTCTTTCTGCCTGTGTCTCTGCCTCTCTCTCTCTCTGTCTCTCTTTCTCTTTGTCTCTCATAAATAGATAAATAAAATCTTTAAAAAAAATGAGAATGTTTTACCTTCCTAATCAGCTTACCAATTTATGAACACGTTTTATTTATTTATTTTTAAAGATTTTATTTATTTATTCATGAGAGACACAGAGAGAGAGACATTTCCCCACATTTTGTTTTAAAACATTCACAACATTACCATTTGGAAAGTAGGTTGCTATCAATAGTCTAATTTGAAATTTTTGATATACGAAAGTTTCTGTTAAATGGTGTTTGCTAAAATGAAGTCTTGATTTCCATTTCTCTGAACTATTTTAAGGAACCTGTATGATACTTACATAAATAATAGCAAATTCAAAGAGTTTTCTTATTCTGTTTTAAAAAAGATTTAAAAAATTTATTTATTCCTGAGAGACAGAGAGAGAGAGAGGCAGAGGCACAGGCAGAGGGAGAAGCAGGCTCCTTGTGGGAAGTCTGAGGTGGGACTTGATCCCAGGACTCCAGGATCATGCCCTGAGCTGAAGGCAGACACTCAACCGCTGAGTCACCCAGGTGACCCTCTCTCTTATGCTTTTTAATTCATAATTTCAGTGGTGTGAAAGGGTCTCCTTTTCAGCCAGATCTACATATTTTTCTTTTCTATCTTTTATTATCTTATTATTAGTGTTTAATAAACATAATTCACAAATTCACATTTGGACTCTAGATACTCTCAGTCTGATAGGAATGGGTAGAGCATATAAACAGGTAACCACAGCACTTAGCAGAAAGTGCTAAGATTCCTAGGAGGAAGAAATGACCTCCCTCAAGAGAATTTGGGGAAGGCTTCACAGACGAGATGGAGCTTTGCTTGGGTGTTAAAAGGTAGACAGGTTTCAAACCCATATAAATGGAGGGTGGGGTTGGCAGGAGAGGTCAAGCCAGCGTAGTCAAAGGTGTGGACTTGCCAGTTCAGAGGGAGGAGTGAGTAGGTCAGTGTAGCTGCATAGTGGTGGAACAAACAGGGATGAGGAAGCTAAATTGGGGGTTAAACCAGGAGATCTTTGAAGTCCCCAAAAAGGGGCTAGCACAGTGGTGGAAATAAGATATAAGCAAAGTGAGATCATATCTTAGGAATCCTGCCCTTCCTGGGTCTGTAGGGTTCCTGCTCTTAAAACGCATGGGCTCTCTTCTCATCCCATTCCTAGGATTGCTAATGCTGGTTCTGAGAGAGGCAAAGGCAGGATCAAGAACAATGGCAGGTTACCCTGGGGCTTCAGCATCCAAGTGTCTTCCTTTGTTCCTGTCAATTCCATAAAAGGAGTCTATCACTAGTTTCAGTGGAAACTCTAGATCACAGACCTGCCTCCTCCTCAGCCCGCCCCCTTTGCACTAGCTCTCAGCTGACACCCTGAACTGCACTCCCTCAGTTCACTTCTTGGGGAACCCCCCTCACATTTGTGATTCAGTTTCTGAGAGTTGGATGCTATGAGTTGGGAGGGCCAGAAAAAGGAACTGGAAACTGCTGAATCAACCCCTTGGCTAATAATGGACCTTATTATATCCTCTTCTATAATTACAGAACCTGCCACACTGCATTGTAATTAGTTACTTATGCAATTTTTCTCTCCAGAAATTTAGACCATGTCCTGTTAATTTTAAACCAAATTCATATCATGGCTTGTTGGTTAATTTAAACCAAATGCTAGCCCGTGATGATTATAACAGGATGAATTGTCTGCCATTATAGCTATTCCTTATATTTTTGTTCTTTTTAATAAAGGTGCTTTACTGAATATAAAATTTTATCTTAGTGTTTATATATTTGTAAGCCTTTCCATATCAACCCTCAAATCAGAAAATAGCCCTTTGTTGTTGTGCTTTTATTGGATTGGAAAATAATATACTTGTGTGCAAAGTATGTCTTAATATGTATATGTTGAATGACTAATATAAGGGGATCTTCAGGTGGCTTTGTTGGTTGGGTGGGCCTTAGAAATTTCTTAGGCGGGGGCACCTAGGTGGCTCAATGTTTGAGTGTCTGCCTTTGGCTCAGGTTGTAATCTTGGAGTCCCGGGATCAAGTCCGGCTTCTCCCTCTGCCTGTATCTCTGCCTCTCTCTGTGTGTCTCTCACGAATAAATAAGTGAAATCTTTTCTATTTTTATTTTTTTAAGATTTTATTTATTTATTCATGACAGAGAGAGAGAGAGAGAAGCAGAGACACAGGCAGAGGGAGAAGCAGTCTCCGTGTGAAGAGCCTAATGTGGGACTCGATTCCAGGACTCCGGGATCACACCCTGAGTCGAAGGCAGAAGCTCAACATCTGAGTCACCCAGGGATCCCTGAAGTCTTGTTAAGAAAGAAAGAGAGAAAGAAGAAAGAAGAAAGAAAGAAAGAAAGAAAGAAAGAAAGAAAGAAAGAAAGAAAGAAAGAAAGAGAGAGAAAGGAAGGAAGGAAGGAAGGAAGGAAGGAAGGAAGGAAGGAAGGAAGAAGAAAGAAAGAAGAAAGAAAGAAAGAAAGAAAGAAAGAAAGAAAGAAAGAAAGAAAGAAAGAAAGAAAGAAAGAAGAAAGAAAAGAAAGAAAAAATTTCCCAGGTGGTAAATTGGTGTTCTCAGGTGACTTTCCCGGGATCACATAGATGATATTGGTCAGTTTTATGTTTCACTGTCTGTTAATTGGCAGGTTATCTCCAGTGATAACCACAATGCCTGACATATAGTAGAGCTTAATACGTATTTGGTGAATGAATGAATACAGTGCTAATTTGACTAACAGTGTGTGTTATGCCCAAAGTCCCAATGTGGAGTTGAAAGACTGACAGGGAGGAAAAAATCAGAAAGGTCCTGATGTCGAAGTCTTGATCTTTGGTAGTAGAGCACCCAAAATCTCTTAGTGATGACAGAAAGTAGCTAGCAGTCAGCATGGTGGATCTTGCAGTTTGGAGGGGGCTTACATTGTGTCCTAGCTTCCCTGGCTCATTCTAGCCTCTTTGAGGTCCCACCCCTGTCCACCAGAGTATCCTAGCCATGAGTACAAGGTATTTGGGCAGAACAATTCATGTTCTGCAACGTCACTGGCTGTCCTGCTCTGCTCACATCCTCACTGCTTCCCATGCCCTGGACCTGCTGGATTGGTTTTCCTCCAGTTTCCAGCTCTGTGGCTCCGCTTCCTTGGGCATCAGTTCCAGCTCAAGGGAAATGATGGGCTGGCTGGCAATGACAACTTGTTTGACCCAGCCTTGGCTCCCTTTTTTCAGGTGTGGCCCCACCTTTCAGGTAGGCGGAAACTATGTCCTGGAGGCCCCTTTATAGCATTCTAGAGACATTCTTTATACATTCTAGAGACACAATGTTGAAGCCCCTTCTTTCTGCAGCTTGGCCCTTTGCAATCTTGAGTTCTTCATGTCATTCTCCTCTGGCCATTTGTATGTGCAATAGATCAGGGCATACCTCTTGGTATTGGATTAGATTCATCCTTGTGCCCCTGCTCCCCCTTCTATGTTCTTGACTCAGTAAAAACCATCCCCACCTATGAAGCTTCCATGCCAGAAACCTGGGAATCACCCTGATTCCTCCCTCCCCCTCATCTGCATCTATTGCATATTTGAAATGAAGTAGATCTCCTTCTCACTGTTCCTACTGCCACTGCCTGGGGTCCAACCCTCATCATTTCTTGCCATGACAGCTGTAAGAGTGTCCTGTCAACTGTGT